GACTGGTGTACCTGATCCTGATTACTCGGGGAAATTGAAGTGATATTACATAAGGGAGACAAACATCTGGAATGCAGGAGATTCCTTAGGATGTCTCTTAGTACTATTACGCTCTGTAATTTTAAAAAATTGGTAAACTACAGCAAATCAATTCTGACATGGCTATTAATAGCCCAGACCTTTCAGTAATGAAGGTTTGGGTCACCTACCAAACAAAGAACAACCAAGTGCTTGCTGAGACAAAAAGAATACAGAATGAGTGGTGGAAGAAGCTAGTTCTAAATACTAGCTACAGCCATGTGATCAGGTGTAGAAATGAGGGCTGTGTTATTATGAGTTTTTCCCCTTATTTTTGTTCGTTCACTTATAAAATATAAGTTGTAGATGGGGATAGTTTATTTTCAGTTACATGCATGTTAGCTGTATCATGTAAAGAGCAAGGATGACTTTATAAATATCTTTATTTAGAGATTATATATAGTTTAGGGAGACTTGTAGAGGTGCCAAGTTCACAACTGTGATAGATTTTGTGTTAACTTGACTGGGCTGAATTCTCAGTGTTTTGGCAATTAAGACTTAGTATCCCTCGTGATGTAACCTAACACAATGTAATCAATTCTATAAAGGGGTCTTTTATGAGCAGCTAATCAACTATAACATTAGGATGAGATACAACTTTACCTAGATGAGAGTCTGATGCAATCCATTAAAAGAACTCTAAATATCAGTACTACTGTTATAAACTCATGGTATTCATCTTCGGTGTTACCCAGAAATCCTCCTATGAGAGAGCTTCAAAGAGTTCTTCAAAAAGAATTGTAAAGTTCTATTATATCTTCACTCCATTTTTCTATGAATTTTTTAAAGCACCCTCATATTTCCTTTTTGCATTTGACATCTCCTATGATTTAGAATAAATGGAACCCTAGTGTGCCAAGTGTTGGACTGCTAGCCAAAAGGCTGGCAGTTCAGTCCCACCAGTGACTTCTTGGAAGAAAGATGAGATTATCTGCTCTCCCTAAATATTTACAGCCTCGGAAATCCTAAGGAGCAGTTCTATTCTGTCCTAAGACGCTGTGATGAGTCTGAATCTACTTAACAGCAATGAGTATTTCTTATAACAGTTATCTCAGGCTTGTACTATTCTCCCAAATCTACCCACCCCATCTACCTCTGCTTCTACTCTCAGCAGATGATCTATTCTCCTACTTCTCTGGAGACAGTAATGGAATTAGAACTACCACAACTTCCTTCTACTGAATCTATAAAACTACTTTAGCTGTACGTATCTAAAGTACCTTCCTTTCCTTCCTAGCACAATAAAAGAGATGTCTCTCCTGTCTACAGCTGATCTTGTGTTCTGTGCTATAGAGTTTAACCACCACCCTCCCCACCTTATAAAGCAGAGGTTCTCAAAGTGTGGTCCCCAGTCAGTAGCATCAGCATTATTCAAGAACCTGTTAAAAATGCAAATTTTTAGGCCTCATTACAGACCTACTAAATTAGAAACTCTGGAGTTGGAGCCCAGTAATCTGTTTTTTAACAAGACCTGTAGGTGATTCTGATGCATGTTAAAGTTTAAGAGTCACACGCTAAGGCATTATTATCTATCCCCTTTCTTGCATCTATAACCTCCTTCTCAAGCTCAATTGTTCTCTTTCCCGAACCACTGCAATAGCCTCCTACTTAATCTCTCAACGTACAGTCTTCCCCCCAGTCTACTCAATACAGTTATATATGATTGTAATTCCTTGCTTAAAACTCTTAAATGACATCCCACTAATCTTAAAATAAAGACAAAGATCAGTATCTTAAGACCTCAAGTCTCTTCATAGCTCTCAAGGTCATTTTTTCACTAGCACTCTTGCTGTTTGCTCATCAAAACCACTCTCAATTACTTGACACTCCAGACAACTCTGAATCTTTTCTTTGTCTGAAATAATTTTCCCGTGTCTTCTAATTTCTACTTGAGCTTCAATCTCAATTTAAACTTTCCCTCTTTTAAACTTTATTTCCCCTTAGACTTTACTTGTGTTTAGTATTTACTTTAGGTTCTCACAACTTCCTGTACTCATCCTCTCATACCCTGCATCATGCTTAAAAGTATTTAACATTTAAAATTTTAATGTATGCTGACCTTCCCCGAGTATAAGCTCCATTAAGGCAAAAATCAGTTTATCTATTTATTAGAATAACCCTAGTGCCTAGCTTATTATAATAATGTGAACATAGTAGATGCTCAATAAATATTTGCTGACACAACTACCTACTACAATCCTACACATCTCTTACACATACACACTACCTGCATGCTCAAGTGGATCATTTTCTCTTTTGTGTTTCTAAAGTAGTGTGTATATTAATCTATTACTGCAATCATCACTGAGTCCCCACTAGACAGTAAACTTCCTGAGAGCAGGATTATGTTTGGTTTACCTTTATATCTCAAGCTCTTAGAGACCTGACACTAATAATAGCAAACCAAAACCAAACTCACTGCCACAGGGTCAATGCCAACTCATAGAGGCCCTATAGGACAGAGTAGAACTGCCCCTGTGGGTTTCCAAGACTGCAAGTCTTTAAAGGTAGAAAGCTCCATCTTACACCCAAGAAGTGACTGGTGGTTTCGAACTACTGACCTTGCAGTTGGCAGCCCAACTCATAGTCACTACACCACCAGGGCTCCAACATTAATAATAGGTTTCTTTAAATCAGGGGTTCTCAACCTGTGGGTCAAGACCCCTTTGAGGGTCGAACGATCCTTTCACAGGGGTTGCCTAAGATCATCGGAAAATAAAATTTACATGTTGCCTACCTTATCTGCTTTCTTTGAGGAACATGACACTGAATCAGACAAAAGGATTATGATGATAATTTCTGTGAAAGAACATTTGCACATGCTTGCAGACGAAATTTCATCGTACTTTCCAAATCTACCTAACACTCCATGTGCACTTGCCAGAAGCCCATTCCCAGTCAAAGTTGGAGATGTTCCTGAGACAGCACAAGAGGAGTTCATTGAACTTATTAACAGTGATGCAGTGAGAACTGATTTCTCTACAATCCCAGTTACAAAATTCTGGATCAAGTGTTTGCAGTCACATCCTGTTCTGTCTGAGACTGTGTTGCACCTTCTTCTTCCATTTGCAACAACATATCTTTGTGAAACAGGGTTTTCCAGCTTGTTGGTTATCACGTCTAAATACAGAAGTAGACTTGTTGTGGAAGATGATCTTCCTTGTGCTCTTGCAAAGACTGCCCCGAGAATTTCTGATCTGGTGAGAAAGAAGCTATCTCAACCTTCGCACTGATGTTGGCTTTTTAAGCATACTGTTGCAAAATGTAGCAATGTAGTTTACTGTTGTTATATTAAGACTGTTACCCATGCTACACCATGCTTCAAGACAAATTTTCATTTATTTGTAATTAGAAATAACTATTTCACAATATATAATTACATATTGTTTTTGTGATGAATCTCTATGCTTTAATTATATTCAATTTGTAACAATGAAAATACATCCTGCATATCAAATATTTACATTATGATTCATGACAGTAGCAAAATTACAGTTATGAAGTAGCAATGAAGATAATTTTATGTTTGGGGGTCACCACAACATGAGGAACTGTATTAAAGGGTCACGGCATTAGAAAGGTTGAGAACCACTGCGGGGAGAGGGGGGCGAGTTTGTGTAAAGGGGAGCTCATATCAAGGAGTCCAAGAAGGGAAGGAATGTTCTGAAACTGATTGTGATAGAACTGTACAACACTGCTTGATGTGATTGAACTATGGAATGATGTATCTCTATTAGCTCCCAATAAACTGGTCTTGGGAGAAAACAAAAGAAACAGAAAAACAAACAAACTCCATAGAATAGAGTAGAGCTGCTCCACAGGGTTTCTGAGATTACTGATCTTGGTGGCAGCAGACTGCCTTATCTATCTTCTGACGAGGAGCTGGTGGGCTAGACTCTTTTGGTTTTAGTAAGCAACCTATTGTCTAACCCCCACTGAGCCACCAAGGTGCCTTAAAACTTATAACTCTAACTTTGCACTGCTAGACGTTTTTTCTCTCTCAATATTAAATCTGAGTTACAATTCTAATTATGCTATTTGTTAGCTGCAAGATCACAGGCTAATTAACCTCTTTGGGCCTCAGTTTCCTCATCAGGAAACCAGGGTTTATTATAACTACTTAGAAATATTGTTATGAAAATTAAACAAAATGACACAGTACAATGATTAGCACACACCGTGACTGGCATATTAAGAGCCTCCCCACTCTGGCTTCAACTCTATAGAGACAACTAGGACAAAGCAAATACAAAAATAAGTCGCAGCAATCAAGGGAGACTGAGCACAGAGCGAGCCACTCCTTTTCATCATTCTCCTAGGAAGATCAACAATGAAGAAGCAGAAGAAACAGAATAAACTCTACTGGTGGCGACTCTGTGCATACACAGCTTGGAGAGAATTCACCCCAGAGACCTACTGACTAATGACCACATCCAGCTCCTCAGCTCAGCAGGTCATGTCTTAATCTGCAGAACTAGGAAGCAGGGTTAATTTGGACTGGAATAGAACTACCTGTTAAGGATGTGTTTACAAGGGGGAAATGGGGTGGAGGAGGAGAATTTAACTGCAACCACATCAATCAAGTGTTTTGCAATCTGGCAGAAAACACTGCAGAACTGTTGGTGGAGACTAACACCCACATAACTGCACTTACCTGTAGCCAAGAACCAGCTTAGACTAAATAATGAGTTGTTTTCTGCTGTTACCAAACAATAGCCAAACTTGCAAGGAGTCAGTATCTCTAAGGTCAAATTACCCTTGCCCCTCTATGCAGCACCAAATAACAGAACACCAGGATGCTTTATGCATATATCCCACGGCCTTGGAGCACTGCACATGCCACATGAGCTTCAATGCTCTGTGTGCCAAAAGTTGGGAGCAGATTTCACAGCTCCTCTGCTCCTTTTTCATAACATGCTTACCTCTTCAGAGTCACTGGTAATCAGATCACCTACTTCCTTGGAGTCATTCTTTATGAAATGCTGTGTGACTACAGGTGTGGTAACTACTTCTTCAATGGAACTATCTCTCTTCTGAAGCTTCCTGATTAAGCTCTGCTGGACACTGGAAGATACAGCAGGTGTGAATGGTGCTCTGGGTGGGCTCTGCCTCCTCCAAGATGACCTGCTCCAACCTAGCCCCAGAAGATGTGGTACATCATCTTCAGGTGGAAAGCCCAAGCCATGTTCGGTTTGAAATGGTTTTAAAAACACCAGCATAGAATTGGAAGAGTCTGTCCTAAAAGCCCGGCAGCTCTGGGGCCTGCTGCAGTTAGCCTGAATGCAAATCCCTTCTAGCCACCAAAAAACATGGCAGGCAGAGTCCTGACAGCAGGCAGCCCGACATGACTGGAGAGTGGGGGTTCCTTCAAGAAGCCGGAGGTGATTTTCTCCCCCAGATCTCAGGCCAACTCCAAATTGTGTCTTCCCCTGCTGGCACCTGCTCTCACTGGCATCTAAAAACAAAGAATGAAAACATTTTAAGATGAAATCACAACAGAGTCGACTGCTACTCAAGGAGCCCTGAATGCTAACATTTGAGTCTATTTTGAAGTCTAGTTTTTAAAGAAGGTGGGAAAGCTTTCTAGTGAATGGAACAGAGAAAGCAAAAAAGAAAGCCCTTTGGCTCAAGACATTTTAGCTTGTCTAAGTATTGTTTCACATTTGCCACTGGTTCCTCTTCTTAATGAGTCCAGTGGTTCTCAACCTGGGGGTCGCGACCCCTTTGGGGGCCGAACAACCCTTCACAGGGATTGCCTGATTCATAACAGTAGCAAAATTACAGTTATGAAATAGCAACAAAAATAATTTTATGGTTGGTGAGGGGTGGTCACCACAACATGAGGAACTGTATTAAAGGTTGAGGCATTAGGAAGGTTGAGAAACACTGACAGACCTTTACACAGAACCCAGTTCATGAAACACATAACACAGAACCTATTCTAGTTGAAATGTATGGAAGGGTGGGGAGAAGCAGAAGCCCATCACTTTGAACCTCCCGCTCATCTCCAGAGCATTTCTCAAAGGCAGTGTGAAGACTATGGAACCAGTGGAACAGGTTACTGACATGCTGGAGTATTTCTCTCCCAATATATTTGACAGCAACATGAACTGAACAACTCTTCGAGTTACAGGTACTTTCATGTTCTACTAGCTATCTTGTATAAGTCATGTGGTTTTGAACATCACAGTATTAGCCACAGCAGCAGTCATGTTCATCTGTGAGAGGGATTCTGCTACAAGGAACTTTCTAAAACTAGGAAATATAAGCATGTGTGTGTGTGTATATATATACACACACACACACACACATGCTTTTATATATATATATATACATACATGCTTATATATATAATTATAGGGATATAAGTCTATGTACATATATTTATATCAGAATTAAGGTAGCACACGGACATTGGGCCTCTACTCAAGGCCCAATGTCCGTATGCTACCTTAATTAATGCAAGAATGCTTTGTTCTAATAACCTGGCATTCTGTGATGCCCACCTTCCCCACACTTTCACTGAAGACAAAATGGGTGCATAAGCAAATGTGAAGAAAGCAGATGGTGCCCAGCTATTAGAAGATATAGCATCTGGGGTCTTGAAGGCTTGAAGTTAAGCAGCCATCTAGCAGGGAAGCAACAAAGCCCACAGGGAAGAAGCACACCAGCCTGTGTGATCATGAAGTGTTGATGGGATCAGGTATCAGGCATCTAAGACCAAAAACAATCATATTGATGCGAATGAGGGTGGTCGCAGTGGAGACCCAAAGCCCATCTGTAGACAATTGGACATCCCCTCACAGAAGGGTCACAATGAAGGGACAAGCCAGCCAGGGTGCAGTATAGTACCAATGAAACACACCAAATGACCCGAGTTCTACCTTACAAATCCTGCTAGACTGGAGCACATACATTGGTACAGATAAGAGCTCTCAACACATGGAATTCAGGACAGATAAACTCAGGAACAGTAATGGGAGGAGTGATACCAGGAGGGGAGAGGCGAAGGGGAAGAAAGGGGGAACTGATCGCAATGATCGACTTATAACACCTACAGCCCCCTCCAGGGGGACGAACAACAGAAAGGCCGGTGAGGAGAGGCAGCAGATGGTATAAGATATGAGAATAAATAATAATTTGTAATTTATCAAGGGTTCCTGAGGGTGGGAGGGTGGGGGAAGGAGGGGAAAAAGAGGAGCTGATACCAAGGGCTCAAGTAGAAAGAAAATGCTTTGAAAATGATGGCAACATGCACAAATGTGTCTAATATAATTGATGTATGGATTGTTAGACGAGCTATAAGAGCCCCAAATCAAATGTTTTTTTTAAAAAAGGAACTTTCTAATGGCAAGCCATATTACGATTAGAAACAAAGTACAACAAGCCTACTACTATTAACCTAAATAATATGATACAAAATTCTAGCTAATTTGCCTATGGATAAACTTTTGGCTGTTGAGTTACCTCAGGCATGACATTGATTTTCTGGAAATATTATTTCACTTTTGTTTGTTCAAATACAGTGAAATGAAGTTGTTATACACAGTTATTTTAAGGTATAATAGATGTCCTTAACAAGCTGTGATCAAGATTATATAAGGCCAGAACCAGGGGGAGGCAAGAAGGCCATCTCATCAAATTAACAGCAAACTTGATTTGTATGATTCTGAGAGTGAGAGCTTCTTAATTTTGAGCCCTAAGTCCCTCTTTGTTACTTCGCTCTAGGCTTGGTCCAGGGTCATAACATAAAATATGTAAAATATGCAAGACCAGATTCCCCCAGGGTACGAGCTATTCTGTAGGTAGATTCATTGTTACCCGTTGACAAGATGTAGTGTTACATTGGACGTTTTGCTGAGTGAAAGTAGTCAAGCACTACACGGATCAATATTGTATGAAAGTGCTGTTCTAAAAAACCAAGGAAAAGTTTTCACACAAAAAGGAACCAGCTTTGATGGTGACCCGGGTGGGAGGTGATGCGAGAAGAGGGGAAGACACAGGTTAGAGCAGTGGATTCCAACCTTCCTAATGCTGCGACCCTTTAATACAGTTCCTCATGTTGTGGTGACCCCCAACCATAAACTTATTTTCATTGCTACTTCATAACTGTCATTTTGCTACTGTTATGAATCATCATGTAAATATCTGATATGCACGATGTATTTTCATTGTTACAAATTGAACATAATTAAAGCATAGTGATTCATCACGAAAACAATACATAATTATATATTGTGAACTATTTCTTCCTAATTACAAATAAATGAAATTTTGTCTTGAAGCATTAAAAAAAAAGAAAAAATATGCAACACAATCAAAGCACTGCAGAGAAGGGTAATTACGTCTGCATGTGCACATAGAGTAAAAAAAAGGGCTATGATGGAATAAAGCAACCACCTGGTAATCAGCCAAAGTCAACCTGACTCCGAGGAAATACATAGTAAATATCCAGTAGACTATACAACCTTCCTCTAGTTCCTAAAGGTTTCCTCCCCGCTCCCACTACCATGACTTGAATCCTATCTTGCAAGACTGGCTAGACCAGAGGAGGTACACTGGTACAGATAGGAACTGAAAATACAGGGAATCCAGGATGGATGAGCCCTATAGGACCAGTGGTGTGAGTGGCAAAACAGGGAGGGTAAAGGGAGAATGGGTAGGAAAGAGGGAACCGATTACATGGAACTGTGTGTGACCTCCTCCCTGGGGGACAGACAACCGAAAAGTGGATGAAGGGAGATGTCGGACAGGGCAAGATATGACAAAATACCCATTTATAAACTATCAAGGGCTCATGCGGGAGGGGGGAGTGGGGAGGGAGGGGAAAAATGAGGACCTAATGTCGGGGGTTTAAATGGAGAGAAAATGTTTTGAGAAACGATGTACAAATGCGCTTTACACAATTGATGTGTGTATGGATTGGGATAACAGTTGTACGAGCCCCTAATAAAATGTTAAAAAAGAAAAAAAAAAAAGAGGAAAATAAATAAATAAATAAATATCCAGTAGACTAAAGGTGGGCAATAATCATGGAAGAGATAAGAGGAAACTAAACGCAAGGCTACTGGACTATTACGTGAAAGCCACTCTGCAATTGTTCTTTAACAGAGAGAAAGATACCCTTGTGCCAACCTAATATTAGACAGAGCAAGGAAGGAGGCCAGAGAATATAGAATTATTTTACAAAAAGATGAAGAAATAGCAACAAAGAGAAAACAGAGCTACCAAAATACCCCTCACTGCCTCCTATCTACCTTCCCTCAGTCACCAGTGGCATGAATCTCATACATTCAAGCTATCTAAGTTTACTGCTGATGAAGATCAAAGACTTCAGCCTTCATTATGGATTGCACCTCAAAAGACAAAATCAGTGAGACCAAACTCTGGTTTCAAATAATCGACAAAACAGATACAGCCCTAGTAAGACTGATCTCAGGGGAAAAGAGAGAAATCACAAATTAGCAAGGCCAGGAATGAAAGAAGAGATATCACTACAGATGCGATAAACCAGGGCCAATAGCCTATAGCATGGGGCCAACTCCAGCTTCTGCGGCTTTTGTGAATTAAGCTGGACCATCATACATTTACATCTATTCATTTGTGCACGGTCTGTGGTTACTTTTGCACTACAATGGCAGAGTTAAGTAATTGCAACAGAAATCTATGGCCCACAAAGACTAAATAGGTGGCCTTTAAGGATAAGTTCCCCAAGTCTTGGGCTAAGAATGTACCTTTACTTAACTTAGCACTTAATACTGATTTAGCCTACTACATCAGAACAAACTCAATGGCAGTAAGTTTGGCTTTCATTTTGGTAGGTGTTAACATATAGGAGATTGATAGATTAAAGTATTTTTGTCTAATTGAAATGCAAACCAATTCATTCAGCAGAAAAGATAACCTCAAAGTTTGTTTTATTAACCTGTATGACATTGATAAGTTTTATATCGAACGTTCACACTTGTGTCATCATTCTTTTCCTGCCTAACCACATAAAACTGTGTTCCTCAACAGCCTTTTTACAATCTGATGACCTCATTCATTAGTTAAGTAAATCTGACACCGGCTTCCTTTATATTTGCGAGAGTGATGTTTTTATCTTTTTGAAATTTATGCTTTCACATCCAAGAGGCTCACATTCACTTACAAAGGCCGCGAAACATAGAAAAATTACTAAATTTCAGGGAACAAAGGGGATCTTTGAAGCACATATAATTCATTCTCCTTTGGAATGACAATCTCTCTAAAACAACTTCAAGTGTTTTCGAGTATTTGAAATTACCTTCTGCAAGTGTATATTCTAAGAGAAATTTTTTCCTTGGGGAATGCTTAAGAACTTATGGCATACCTATCACACATGTTAAAAGATGACTATAAAATTGCTCTGACAAGATAGAAAATTGTTTATAATGGTAAGAATTAAAACAAAATATAAAATTACATATCATATAT